AGATTCAGCAATGAAGCCAAGTTTATTTTTGACTCATGCAAATAATACCTTTCAAAATCCCAGGGTAATACCCCTCTGTAAACAGTAAAGGATCATACGGATTTTTTGCAAGCCTAATTAAGAGACCAGAATTGCTGCATTGTTTTGATAATGCTGATTAGTTACCACCTTACCAAATACTTTTAAGATTATGTATTATTCAGCAATGTGGCAGTGGCTAATGCAGACTGTAAAGGCTCATCTCCTTTTTGCTATGCCCATTCCCTTGTGCCTTTTGATAGTTCCTTATGTAGTCCCTGGTTTGTACATGATGTACTGATGCACGGTCAATTCACGCATTTGTAACATGCATCAGAAAACCTGTAGCTGGTCTCTTAAGGTCTGTATTTCTCGGTTTCTTTTTCTTGTTGGACTGAACCTAGCTATGGGGACTGATTTTTGTTTTTCTTTGTCTGTTTTGTAATTATGTGCATAAGTTGATAACTTCTCCTCAGAGGGATATATACATTAGGTATTATGGTTGTTTTTACAGCACATAGGTTTTCTCAGCTCTGACTTCATATTCATTGTATCTTCTTCCCTCAGTTGTAAGTTCAGAATTTAGCCTGTGTTCCACTCTGTATACATACCAGAGAGGTTGGAAAGACCAGCTGTCTGTTGGATTAGTAGACACTAACTAAATTAGTAGCCACTAAATGGATGCAGTAGGCATGGACTTTGTGAATTGGTCTGATGTGAGGCTGCAGAAGTGTTGGAAATGAACCAAGACAGACCTTTTAGGTATCTTCGTTCTTGTATGTATGTATGTTATGTATGTATGTATGTATGTTCAAGAATAATGGACAGCAACTGGAGCGGATGCTTGATCAGAATGAAGCTTTTGGAGTCCTTGGTGTATCAGATCCCCTAGATCTCTCTGAGCATAGCTCTAGTAAGTGTCCCAAATGTGAGCTGAATGTGTCCAGATCTTTGAGGCAGAGTTGGGAAGAATCAGGGTTCTGGTGATGACAAAAATACAAGATCTTAGTGTTGGAAATGTGTGTGAGGAGTAACAGGCCCATGTATACGGCTGGTATGCTCATGTGTAAACAATATCATAGGGGTCAGAGTTAATGTTTAATTATTGTATGAAAAATGAGCAATATTCTTTCAGGTGCCTTAGTACTCTGCATACCTGCTTCCAGATTCTCCTTATTACAAACTTAAACTTACTCTGAGTATGCTGTCTTTTTTCATATATTTTTAAGTGTTCATACAGTTGTGAGACAAATGAAAAGCTGCTCTAAGCCCAAGTGTTCAGAACATGTTTTATTTGGTTTTATAATGCATAGACAAAATACACGTGCACACTTCTGCTTCATATTCACATGCATCTGTGTGCTGGAGACAATGCCCCTGCCCTTGTTTTAAAGCACCATCTCACTTCCTTCCTCACCATCACTGTTCTTTGCTGCCACCTCTGCTTGCGTATGCTCCAAAGCTCACATCATGGAGAAATCCAACTAGATGTGTAAGTATCCTCTCTGGAGCCAAGCAGATGACAGAGCATGTTTGTTCTTGAAAATTGATTCTGGTTTTCAGGGCCAGCGTTGAAGATGCCATGCTTTTGGGCACAAGTCTGTAACTGATTAGCATCACACAGAGTCCCGCCTGAAAATACTCTTCTCCTGTTCTAACCCTGAGGTAGCTGCTTTGGTTTCAGCAGAAAATGGGTGTGTGGATAGTAATGAGCCACTGGCATTTTTACTACTGTCTTGCCTAATCCTGTGCAAGACTGGCTTAAACACACTGACTTAAAAATGGCGGTGGTTGGTCTGCAGACTTGTTCTTCCACTGCTACTTGGAAGCCCAGAGTAGTGTCTGCCTGCTACAGTGCTGCCTTGAGAAAACCAGCTGTTAACCTGCACTCCATCAAATGCTGAAAGGTTCAGTGCCTTCCCTTAGAGTAATGTTAGTCTTTGTTCTTCTTTTGAAGCCTCTTGAAGTGTTCTGAATTGGCTTCATTTTCACAGACAAAATGCTTGTTGCTACCTGAAACTCTGGGTTTTTCAAACTATTTTAGACTAGGCAGAATGATTAGATGTTGAATTTTAGCCTGGTTTATTCCCGCTATCTTTCCCTCTCTGCCTTTCCGCCTTCCTTGTCACCTGAATAATTTTTGCTTTATTGACCCTTTTCTGCTGAATCTGAGAAAGCTGGAGATCTTAGCGATATTAAACCCCTTAAAATATTGTGAAAATTCACAGAAGAACGACCATATCTGTGCGTCTCCCATCCTTCTGCTTCTGCTCTCATGCAAAGGCTGTGGTATAAATCCGACTATTTTAATAGACGCAAGAGGACCTGTGCTTTGCTTGAGGAAATCAGGTTTCTTGAATTCTGCTACTGTGTTTGCTCACTTCATGGTGTCAAAGGTTAACTGGGTGGTGTTTGTGGGTATTTTATGTGTTTATTATGGGAAGAGTCTACCTGTGAGTAGGTTTCTGAAAATAATTAAATTGCAGGTGGCTTTTGCCCTGCAAATGTTGTGGACTCTGAGGTGCTGCTGATTGGGCAGCAAAGCTCTTGTTAGTGTTACCAGAAGTACTGCATTAAAAACAGGCTAGTATTGAAATATTTTTAGCTGCTGTTGCCACCAACCAAGAATGATCGATTATTTTATCAGTTCATGTACCTTGCAGTAGAAAACTTCTATTTGGAATAGCAAAGATTTTTGCTTTCAGAATTTGCCTAATTAAAAATCAAGGTTGCAGATTCTTTGCTGACTGTCTGCCCTAGGCAAATCTCTCATTTGAAGCTACAATTGGCCCCTAAAGAAACAACTTTGTTATGCTGCTGGATACCTTCATAATGCTGTTTCAAACCCAATTTCTTATTCCTTCGAACCCTCTGTTATTTAGATTCATTCAACTTAAAGATTCATCTTGAAAGCAGAGTGCATTAAGTAGTAACTATGCCTCTTTAACCAATGACTGTCTTTTATGTCTTTTCTATCCTTTCCCTTGGTCCCCCATCAGCCACGTTGTCTGTATTGGCACTGGTGTGACTGCGATTGGTTCTTCCACAGATTTGAGCTTGTACATTTGAGTACTTGAGTACATTTGATCTTGTTGTTCAATACACTGTTTGTTAAGCTTCATTATACAATCTGAAACCTAATAAAATACTCTTATCAGGGCCTTGCTAAAATTATTTTGGGAGTTCTGAAGAGGATTCTAGAAGTAGATAACTTACGCTCAAGACCAAGAGAATTGCTTCCAGTTCTTCAGAAAAGAAGTTATCTTGTGTGGCTATCGTGAGAAGTTGTAACTATGATGGTAGTACGTGTTGATGAATTGACCTTAGAAATATGCAGAAGAACCAATTCAGTATTATTAATTATTTAGAAAGTGTGATTACTACTTGTCTACTTGATGAGTGAAAGTGCCGAAAAGCAGACGTATATAGAATGTATGTAGAGTTCACATGTGTAATCTGCAGACCCATACTTGAATTAAAACAGGTTATGGTTGGTTTTAATGGAATTCAATCAAAGGATAAGGGAAATGAGCTCTCTTTATGGCAGCGTGTGTGCTGTGCATGAATAACAGGACATAGGTAACCGTGTCCCGTTAGTGTATGCTAGAAACTTAAATATTGGGCATTTTATTTTGAGGTGAGGTCAAAGACTGTTGCAGTTGTGAAATTGAGTTGACCATAGCAGATGTTTTGTCTCACCTGGCTCTCAGGTGCACGCTGTCAAGTGTCTTTAGAGCATCTTATGGATTTGAATGAGTGGCCATGTGTACCTAAGAGGTGTGGAGAAAAGGGAGTTGTAATAAACAACAGGATCCAGTACGGACGTTCATTCTTGTTTCATTATGATGCTCAGAAAGAGGAGCTGGCTGAAAACATGTTACAATGTATTCAACCAACTAGCAAGTTTTCCTCATCCAAACATGGCACAATGGAAAATAGCAGTGACAAAAATGGTTAAGAATCTGAAACTTGAGTAATAATAGTAACTATTAATACAAATAAACTTTGAAGAGCTTGTTTTATGTTTGGATAACCCTAGTTTAAGTGACTTGCCAAGTCCTACTAAATCAAATCAACTACAGAGTCATCGTCAAAACTGATTTCTTGGCTCACTACTTTCCTTTTCCTGCTGCTGCAGGATTATTCCTAAGATACAGTCAGGTTTCAAACCTCAAAGCTTGCTCAGTTTTAAAATGTGATCTCTCTCCCAGCTAGAAAGAGTCCTGTCCCGTCTTCCCTGCCCTCCAACACCTACTACTTGTTTTCTTGAAGTCTTTATACCAGTCTGAATGTTTCAGTGTTTTGTTGGCTACTTGTTTTCTTGAAGTCTTTCCATTTATACCAGTCTGAATGTTTCAGTGTTTTGTTGTTATAGTCCTTAGTCTCTCTCTAGTGTCTTTCTTGTTTGTCTCACTAAAATTTCTTTTGACTTTAGTGAATATTTTGTTTCATCTGACATAAAACAGTCCCAAGATTGGGTAAAGTAATGCAGATTTTCCCCTTCCCTTTATAAAATAGAAATTAAATTATTGAATATTCTAGTGTGG